TCTTGACCCCACATTTCTCCTCATAGAGCCCAGCCTCCCGGATAATCTGTTCTGCATACAGGTTGAAAAGGTATGGAGATAGGATGCATCCCTGGCGTACACCCTTCCCAATTTTGAACCATGTAATGTTCCCTTGCTCTGTTTTGACGACTGCCTCCTGGTCCAAGTATAGGTTTCACATTAGAACAATCAAGTGTTCTAGGATTCCCATTCTTCTCAGAGTTAGCCACAGTCAAATGCCTTTGCATAGTCAATGAAACACAGATAGACATTCCTCTGGTGTTCCCGGCTTTCAGCTAAGATTCATCTAACATCAGCTATAATATTCCTAGTACCACGACCCCTTCTAAGCCCAGCCTGGACTTCTGGCAGTTCTCTGCTGATGTGCTGTTCCAGTCGTTTTTCGATAATCTTCAGTAGAATCTTACTTGCATGTGAAATCAATGAGATTCTTCTATCCACACTCTGTTGGGTTACCTTTCTTTGGAATGGGAACATTAAGAAGACAAAAATTCATACCACTAGGCCAGTATGCAACAGGATGACAGATAAAGAATTGAAGTTGTCAACAACTTCATCTCAGATCCACAATCAATTCTCTTGGCACCACCAGCAGTCAAGTAATCAAAAGACATACTGATGCACTGGGAAAGTCAGCTATCAGGGACCTCTCCAGCAAAGAACATGGGTGAGTCTGCTTGTGTCCTATCTACTATTTCTTTATGATATATACTATAACCAATTTTTAGTTCTTTCTTCTTTTTATTGTTATCTAAGTGAAAGTTTACAAAGCAAATTGGTTTTCTAGTTATTATATTTCCTAACTTTTTAAGGAAGCATCAAATAATTTTCCACCTTGGTTGTACCAGTTTACATTCCCACCACCAGTGTAGGTAAGTTCCATACTCTTGACAGCATTTGTTGTTCTGTATCTTAAGGGTGAGATTGTATCTCATTGTTTTTTACTTTCATCTCCAGATCACCTAATGATAATTTCTTCATGTTTGCTGAGTTCTAATGTTATTAATTTTGAACGTCATAAGTGGAATCATACAGTATGTATTATTTTGTTCCTCTTGCTCAATCTCAATTTCCTTGCATTTTAAGACTATTAACATCTTTCTATCTTCAGAGCTCAAAAAACTCATTGTGGTGGACTGGAACCCTCCATTAAGTTTTTAGAGGGTTTAATCTACATGGAGAGGAGATGATCTATCTTTCTCCCACAGAGCAGCTGGTGGACTCAAACCACCTGCCTTTGGGTTGGCAGTGCAACTCCCTACCCACTAGGTCACCAGAGCTTCCTATATCTTGATTAGCTGCCGTATTCCCCCACTAGTTATTTTAAATAACTTTTTATTTTAGATTTTTAAAAAATTTATTCTTTTCAATGAAAATTTACAGACTTTGGATTTTCATTCTTTTAAATAACTTTTAATGAAAGCCAGACTGTTAGCAAATTCACAAATGTTAGAAAAAGCGAAGACATAATATTTAAGAGAACAAAAATCCTTCCACTAGTTTAATACAATTTCATTGAATCTGTACCTTCCTTTGGCTATTACAAGGCAAGAAGCAGTTGAACTTCTTAAGCATTTCATCTTGTTGTGGTAATTGAGATGTAAAGGCGCTTCGTAAATTATAAAAAGTATACACATACTTTAGGTGGAACTGTTGAAGTGTTGTTTTAATGTTAAGGTTCATCTTGGCAGGCAAGGGATGTTGATGATGATGAGTCTTTGAAGAGGATTTAGCAGAGCTCATAGACATGGAGTAAGATCCCTCAGGTCAAAAAGGACCAGGTTGTTTTTTGTTTGGTTATTTTTTTTTTTCCGGAGTGGGGAGGAGGAGGTGGCAAAAACATAATGCAATTTACAAGAATAATTGTGTGTTTATGGCTCTTGTAGGGTGGCTCCCTCCAAGTGAGCGACAGTTTGGAAACAGAGTTTGCAGTGTTACTCTGATAATAAGGGCAGGGGGTTATTTTGGAATGAGCACGGGAATTCTGTTCAAGCACACGAGCTCATCCTACTAGTTCAGCCAACTATACCTGCCAGTCATTATGAAAGAGGTAAAAGACATCACAATCCCCAGGGCAGACACTTAATCATAATTAGCAAGAAAAGAAGTAATAACTAGTAATAACTTAGTGATCAAATGATCCCATACTCCTGTTAGACCTGACGAAGTGAGGGAATGCGCAGGTGGTACAAGAAGATCATTCAAAGTTTGGATAGTTTCTGATTGAAGGATTATTGGAACAACAGCCTTTTGGTGGTAGGCTTTTTGTAGGGCTGGGGTGTGTTTCTTTCCCCAGAAGAAAACGGAGTAAGATGGTGGGGAGAAAAAAAAATTCTAAGCTTCAAGGCCATCAGCAAATCTTTCTTCTCGGTCCAGGGCATCAGAGTGGTCCAGATTCGTCTTTAAGTCAATGCTGCTTCCCGGGTTCCCACACCCCCTCCTTCACCATGGGAGTGTGCAAAACCACCTCTTTCTTCTGGTTGCCTTGGAGACCAACCCCAGTCCTTTTCGTTCCTTCTGGTACCGGGAACATTTTCTCCAACGCAGGTGGTACGGAGGGGGCTCAGCCCAAAGAACGTCAGTGGCTGTGCTGCGGTGGTGGGAAGGATGCTAGCAAAAATAGTACAGTGGGATCTGCGGTCTACATGGCGTCCGCCGACCCAGGCAGATGGACAAAAGCTGAGGTCAGCTGCTGTTCAAGCCTTTTCTGTTCCTAACGACTGAGGGGCCATACACTGTGGCGGCACTGATGGGCTGGAGGGTGCAGGTCAGAAGAACCAGACCGATTAGGGAGGAAGGAATCGGGGGAGCGCGGCAGTGTCCCAGGAGCGTTCCAGGGCCCCAGGGCGCCACCTTGTCCACCCACCAGGCGGGTGGGAGAGGGGGAGGGGGCAAAGGGGGGGGCCCTCCACCCTCTCGACCATTGGGCGGTGCCGCCATCACTCTCCTCTCGGCAGTACCACCTTCTCCTCCTCTTCTGAGCCCGGATCGTCTCCCCGCCCTGCCACGAGAGGCTCCTATTGGGCGGAGGTGCGGTCGATCAGCTTCGAGTAACGGAGTCGATTGGATAACAGGCCCTCGGTCCGCCCCTGTCCTGCTCGGATTGGCTTGCTGCAAGTTGGCGCAACGGAAGAGGCGGCCGACCCTGGGTGCCCCTCTCTTGGGCTGGGCTGCCGCGGAGGAGGCGACCAGGATTCCGGCGCTGGGGGGCTGGCTCGGGCGGCAGCAGAGGCTGCTGCGGATGGGATCGGGCCGGTTTGGCGCGCCGATGGAGCGCCACGGCAGGGCCGCTGCCACTTCCGCCTCGTCGACTGGGGAACTGGCGCCCGGGGGGCCCGAAGGGCGGCGGCGAGAGCCGCTGCGGCGCCGGGCAAGCAGCGCATCGGAGCCGTCGTCGGGGACGTCGGCTGAGAGCGTGAGGCGGGACCGGCCCGGCTCCTACAGCGGCCCCACTCCGGTCTCCCGGCAGCGCGTCGAAAGCCTGAGGAAGAAGCGGCCGCGTAAGTGCCCCGCGGGGCGCCTCCCGGCCCGGCCGCCGTTTCTTCCCGCGCTCGCGCGAGAACACTGCCCCCGCTCGGTGGTCCCGCGGCGGTGCGGGCCGGGGCCGCGGGCTCGAGGCCTCCGACCCGCCGGCGCCGAGCCTCGGTCCCCGCCCCCACTCGCTTTTCGCGCCCTTGGCCGCTGCCTTCCGGATGTCGGCGGGGAAGGCCTTTCTTCGGGACCCTTCCTCCCTCCGACGCCCAGAGTCACATGATTTCTCCCCGGGGAGGGTTCTTTGACTCATTTCCGCGACCGCCCCGCACCCCCCAAGTCCTTTGAAGTCCCAGAGTCGACCTGCTGTCGGTTTCCAAGGAATTTTTAGACGTGTTAAAAGACCCAAAACCAACCCAAAACCCAACCCACGCAAACAAAACCCTTGAAGATTGCAGGTTTAACGAGGGAATATTGAACTGGTCTAAAACTGGGTTTCGTGTGCCCTGCACGTCTAAGCTTTTGAAAATTTGGGTCATCGCTGCCCCTGGCAGTTACTCTGTGTCCAGTTGTTTCTGATGCAGAGCTGTGGCCTTCGGTCTCTTCGGGCTTTCTCTTTTTCGGGGAGGATGTCATCTTCCGAATCCCACCTTAGGAGTTGCACAGGCTCTTCCCAGAGAAATCTGTCTCCATTTTACCATCGGGTTTGCATGTCTTCTTTGTGATTCCAGTCAAACGGAGTCCCCCTCCCCTTTAATTCATGACCTTTCTCTTTTGAATCTGTTGCTACCCTTGAAAATACTTAACTATCATTACTTTCACATGTGGGGTTTACAGTATATTGGCGTTTACAATTTTTTAAAAAGAATTTGCCATATTTATTTTATTAATTGTAATGAACATTTACACAGATTTTGGATTTCCATTCATTCATTGTTGCACTTTAAATTTGCGATATCTCTGTTTCACAAAATCGTTTGTTTAAATAAAGGGCAGGAGGAGTGAGTTCTTTATTAAATATTTAAGGTTCTTTAACCAACAAATCGTTTCCTAGGTGTTTGGATAATAAAAATGCAGAGGTATTTTACTATAAAAAGTTTAGAAGGATTTGGTTTTCATCTTGGAAGAGATTTGGAAAGCAGTTCATCCCTAACTCATAATTTTAGAGGCATTTACCTGATTTTTTTTGGTTTGTTTTATTTGTGATGACCCTAATTTCTTAAGTCCTCCTTCCTTCATGACTTTGTACTATGAAATAATCATCAGAGATGGATGTAAATTCCATGGATGTAGGAACTAGGAATCAAGAATGCATAGCCCTCTTAGGTGACCATTGATCACAAGGAAGGAAACAGTATTTGGGCTGTTTGTGTGTGTCAGATGTTACTGAGACCTTTAATAAACCAGACCTCACAGTTTTACAGATGAGGAAGCTTTGACACTTGCCCTGTGTCAGAACACCAATAAGTGGTACAATAGAAATGTGAACTAAGGCAGTGTAGCTTCAGAACACCTGTCCTTAACCACTGTGTTTGCCTGAATTGCTCTTATTCTATTAACTGTTTCCTTATTGTGGTAAGACCCAGCGCTGGCCTGGCCTTTTGTGTTCAAGGGTTTTTTTACTTGAGGTGAAAATTTCTAGCTAGAATGGAAGGAGTTCCAATTTTGTACATAAAAGTGATCTGGAAAATTATATTGCGGACTAGGCCTTGGCCTCTATCGTTTGAGTCTAAGCCCCTGCATTTTTAACAAGCTCTTCATATAATTCAGATACAGGTACTCAAGATCACTTTGGAAAACACCCCTTGGGTTGATGAGACTGTTTATGAGGAAAGTTTTGAAACTTTATAGGGTATGAGATAGAGCCCCATATTCTGTTTTTGGTTCTCCTTCATTGCTTTCTCTGATAAATGATGGAAAACCATCTCTTAGTTAATGAGACTTTGTAAGGAAATAAGCACTTAATTTTATATTTGTTATTTCTGTGTGATGCAGGGGCATACCTGTTAGAGGGGGAGGCAACTTACTACTTGGAAAGAATATAGTATATCTTTGAGAGAATTTACTAAGGTCTTAGAATTTAATGGAGATTAAAATTTTTGAAGATGTTGTTGGGAGGATAAAGTGTAGGATGGTGTGCCGCCTTTTTTTGGGGTTAAAGTCTGATGTTGTTACACAGCTGTGCAGTTTATCTTTGGGGCCCTGCTGTACTGTGAGGGCTCCACTCCTAACAGTTGGCACACAAAGTTGTCCTCTAATAGGTCACATCCGTGTTCAGTCATTAGAGATGAAGCTAAGCATATTTATATCTTAAGACCTCTTTTTGTAAGTTTAAGATTGGTTGGGATGTCTCATAGCATTGGGAAGAATATTAAAGATTTGTTTAAAGTGATGGAAACAAATATACCAACCATGGAACATGATGCCATTTCTGTAATTTGTGTTAGACTCTGCCAGATATTTTAAGACTGCTTGGTTTATCTTACCATTATCCTACAAGGAAGATAATTTTTTTATCCCTGGTGTTGAAATTGTCGTCTTTACCAGAGGGCATATTATGAGTAAGTAATGGAACTGGATTTTGATTATAGGTCTTGACTTCAAATCCAATGTTCTTAACTTTCCGTTTTGGGGGGAGGAGGAGGGAAGAGGAGGGAGGATGGTCCAGTTGCTTAGAGCAGTGATTTGTGGTCTCCAGCAGTCCTTCTCTGGTGGAAATGGCTTGAAGCTTATTTTGTACCTAGCACTTGTTCATGTATACACGTTGTTGTTGTTAGGTGCCATCGAGTTGCTTGCAACTCATAGCGACCTTATGTACAACAGCCCTAAACCCTGCCCTATCCTATGCCAATCGCACTGTCTCTGACACACCCATCCCGATTATCCCCGTCACTGAATCAATCTACCTGATAGAAGGTCTTCCCCTCTTGTGTCGTTCCTCCACCCTCCCAAGCATGATGTCCCTCTCCAAGGATCGGTCCCTCCTTAAAACATGTCCAAAGTATGTCAGACGAAGCCCCAGAATCCTTGCCTCCAAGGAGCCGTCCAGTTGAACCCTCTCCAGGATGAATCTGTTTTCCTAGCAGTCCATGGTACATTCAATACTCTTCTCCAGCACCACAGTTCAAAGGCATCAATTTGCCTTTTATCCTTCCTAGTCATTGTCCAACTCTGATGCATAACAAGTGATTGCAAAGACCATGGCCTGTATCACATGCATCTTAGTCTCCTGAGTGACACCATTGCTTTTCAGTACTTTGGAGAAGTCCCTAACAGCCGACTTTCCCATTGCAATACATCTTTTAATTTCCTGGCTACTGGTGCCAAGAGTATTGACCGTGGAGCCAAGCAGACTAAAGTTGTTAACAATCTCAATCTCTTCACCATCCATCCTGATGCTGCCAATTGGTCCAGTCGTGAGAATCTTTGTCTTCTTGACATTGAGCCTCAATCCATGCTGAAGGCTGCAGTCCTTGACCCTGTGCAGCAAGCACTTCAGGTCCTCCTCAGTTTCAGCAAGCAGGGTTGTGTCATCTGCATAACACAGATTGTTGATAGATCTTCCACAAATCCTGATGCTGCACTTCTCATAGAGCCCAGCCTCCTGGATGATCTGTTCTGCATACAGGTTGAGAAGGTGGAGATAGGACACATCCCTGGCGTACACCCTTCCCAATTTTGAACCATGCAGTGTTTCCTTGCTTTGTTCTGACGACTGCCTTTTGGTTCACGTATAGGTTTTGCATTAGCACAATCAAGTGTTCAGGGATTCCCATTCTTAGAGTCAGCCACAGTTATGATCCACACAGTCAAACACCTTTGCATAATCAGTGAAACACAAACATTCCTCTGGTATTCCCTGCTTTCAGCTTAGATCCATCTAACATCAGCTACAATATCCCTAGTACCACAACCCCTTCTAAACCCAGCCTGGACTTCTGGCAGTTCTCTGCTGATTTGCTGTTCCAGTCGTTTTTGGATAATCTTCAGTAGAATCTTGCTTGCATGTCAGTTGTTCTGTAGTTTTCACACTCTGTTGGGTCACCCTTTTTTGGAATGGGAACAGATATAGATCTCTTCCAGTCCATGCTCATAAATCTTGCAAACTTTTAGAAAAAGTTTTATTGAGGTTTAATTATGTACAGTAAAATGATAATCTTTACAAATATAAATATTCATGTAACCAGACAAAAATACGTTTTTATCAAGGACCCAGATGTGAATCCCTCAGGAGTGCTTAATCATAGCAGTGTCAGGGGCAAGGTGGCTCTTTGTGATAGTGTCTAAGCATGCTGTAGCATGTCAGGGAGCTGTTTGGACTCTTAAGCCAATAATGGAAACAGCATAACCTCCATTAGTGTAAAAACAAAGTTCTTTTTGTTTTTCAACTTTGTTTTGTAGTACTAACCTAGAAAATAGGTTTGGTTTGGCTTTTTGTGGAGTAGCTGTTTTAGTAGACTGGAACTGGATGTGGGGCCCATGGGGAATCTCTGGTTGGCACAAACAGTTAAGCTCTTGATTACTAACTGAAAACTTGGTGACTTGAACTCATCAGGAAAGAGCTTGGAAAGAAAGATCTGGCAGTCTCTTTCTGAAAGGTCTCAGCCATGAAAATGGAAGGGGGTGCAGTCTGTTGCATTCCTGGTTTTGTTGTGAAACTAAGTCTGCTCACTGATTTGCATTGCATTTTGTTTTATTTTTTATTTTGCCTATTAGGCACTGGAAACAGGCAGGGGAGTTACTGTTTTATAGCAGAAGAAAGACTTCATGCTTGGTTAAAAATCAACTACCTTTGAGTTGGTTCCAACTCAGCAGTCATCTGTTGGAATTGCAAGGCTGTAAACCACAGCAGATCAAAATGAGAGATTGCCTTTCTTTCCCTCATGAAGCCACTGGTGGATTTGAATCATAAGAAAGAAATAGCTTTTGGGATAGCAGTATAATCTGCAGGCTGCTATGCTCCCATACCCACATAGGATGGCTTGACCCAGTGGCTGTAACAGTGCAGTCAAACATAGCAGCAATGTGA